CTACTATCAACAAAACAAATGATGTATTATGTAATTAATGTCTACTAAGATTATACTAGAGTGTAGGTACCTGTGGATAAGTGAGGAAAACACGCACGCCAAACGCTCACTCATATTCTGGTGAGCCTCATTTATATGTCAATGGACGCAGAAAAAAAAATCTTTACAAAACCATAGAGCGGTTTCTCATGACAGGGGGGTCGATCTTATCCAACAGAGTCCTTTGGCAACTTTTTGGCACAATTTGACATTCGGCAAATAAGAAAAATATTTTACAAATTTGCTAAATTTTGGCAAATCCCAAATCTCATCATTTTCAACCTGTCCAGCATAAAATTGAGTCTATCCTACTAGTGACTAGAGATCACGTTTGAATATTGTTGACAGTGCCCTCTGGCGTCTTCATTAAAGTTGAGTGTAATCGTTGGATAATCCATCTTCTTTGTGTTTGATATCTTTTTCTCTGACGTGGCAGGGTTCGCACTTCGCTAATAATAAATACATCAGCCGACAAAAGTAGATAACAACAAAAGAATAATCATCATTTTTTTCCGTTTGTATCGTTATATATGAAATTTAATTCTGACGTGTTGTTTTGTTCTTTTAGAACGAGCTAAATTGCTACGAAGAACACAATGAGTGGCTATATGTTGTCGAACTCAATGCTTGAACACTTTTCGAACGAACTCTTTATTGAAATTTTCGAATATTTATCTGTTCAAGATTTGTACAACAGTTTTTATGCTCTCAATATTCGATTTATATCGATTCTCGCGTCTCTTACTAATCTCTGGGGCAAATTAACATCGAATAAAGATGCTCTATTGCCTGCCTTTCGTTTCTTTGCTTCTTGTATAACCATGTTGGATGTCGACTACGAAGATCCCATTGATCTGTCTTTATTTCATGCTATTCGTTCTCTTCGATTGTCCAGAGAACCAGATTGTGGTTTATCCCATTCGATTTTGGAACTTTCTAATCTTGAACGTCTGTACGTTACCAATGATTCTTCAATGATTTTTGAAGCCCAGAATTCATTGTCTATCTTTGTTTTCGGCAATTATTTTCCTCATCTTCGCAGATGTCAACTTTCTCAAGTTAAATTGAATAAGGATTATAAATGGAGTATTGTTCCGTCTCTTCGCTCACTATGTATGTCTATGGATGATATACTCATCTACACCCAAATACTTCAATCGTGCCCATCTCTTGATCAATTGTGCATCGAATTTACTAATCACAAGTGCATGGTTAGTTCATTTGATTGTGCGCCTCATCAATGTCTTCGTCGATTGGATTTATACTTTCAATATCTTCGTTTATTAAACTCTCAAACGATCGATTTATTACTATCTGTTGTACCCAATCTTACTTATTTTTCGATTAACAGAATTCGTAACAATCGGAACCCAGTGATAGATGATTCACTCCTTCCCATTTTATATGAACGTCTGCCTAAACTTCGCCATTTTCCCATTAACAGTATGCATTATACGCCTAGGCCGATACTATCCGGCTCTGATTCTGATGATGATGATGATTCTGATGATGATGATGATGATGACGACGATGATTCTGATTCTGATGATGATGATGATAATGATTCTGATGATGATGATTCTGACTCTGATGATGATTCTGATGATGATGATTCTGATGATGATGATGATGATGATGATGATGATGACTCTGACTCTGCTGATGATCTCTAATGATCTTATGGTTCGAGCATCATCTGTCTGCGCTGATCTTTTCGTTCAAATAATGGACTAAGACATTTCATTGTTTTTATCTGTTAGAGACCACTCTAATAACACATTTTCTCATGTTGTTTATTTTTGTTGTGTGTGCGCGCATCTTCATTCTAGTATATGTTATCCACTCTTGTATACGAAGGTCAAACAATCCTTTTTTCTTTCCCTCTCTCTTGTTTCAACTTTTCTTTCGTCTGTGAGAATTTCAATAAATTCTTAGCCTTCCTTCGGCTCTAAATGTAAGTGCATTTAAAAGATAAGCTCGATTGGTATTCTTTTTTCATTCACAAAATTTTCTCGAATCTTTTTGAACTGATAAAGAGAATCCTGAGTGTTTTTTCCAATATCAAAACATTTTCCTGCCGAGGATGGGTATCGGTATTGGTTAATTGAAAAATATAGCACGACCACTCATAAAATCAATCACACGTACACCTACCCATCTTTAAGAATGGGTTTTATTCTACAAGCTGAAGAATAAACAAACATTGCCGAGCTTTGAATCCTGGTAATTAACGAAAAATCATATATGTACGAAAGCATTTTTCGAATATTCTTCCATTACTCTCGACTAAAGATAGACACGGGTGTGGGTGTGGGTGGAGGTCATAAGTACTGCTAGACCCACACCCACATCCACCCACACCCACACCCACACCCACACCCGTAGACAACAAAAAACGAACGTACTTTCCACTCAAGCTAAATAGGTCTCGAATAAGACTAGCATAAAAATACGACTGTCCATAAGAAAATTCTCGTTAAGACAGTATNCCCAAATCTCATCATTTTCAACCTGTCCAGCATAAAATTGAGTCTATCCTACTAGTGACTAGAGATCATGTTTGAATATTGTTGACAGTGCCCTCTGGCGTCTTCATTAAAGTTGAGTGTAATCGTTGGATAATCCATCTTCTTTGTGTTTGATATCTTTTTCTCTGACGTGGGAGTGTTCGCACTTCGCTAATAATAAATACATCAGCCGACAAGAGTAGATAACAACGAAAGAATAATCATCATTTTTTTCCGTTTGTATCGTTATATATTAAATTTAATTCTGACGTGTTGTTTTGTTCTTTTAAAACGAGCTAAATTGATATGAAGAACACAATGAGTGGCTATATGTTGTCGAACTCAATGCTTGAACACTTTTCGAACGAACTCCTTATTGAAATTTTCGAATATTTATCTGTTCAAGATTTGTACAACAGTTTTTATGCTCTCAATATTCGATTTACATCGATTCTCGCTTCTCTTACTAATCTCTGGGGCAAATTAGCATCGAATAAAGATGCTCTATTGCCTGCCTTTCGTTTCTTTGCTTCTTGTATAACCATGTTGATTGTCGACTACGAAGATCCCATTGATCTGTCTTTATTTCATGCTATTCGTTCACTTCGATTGTTCAGAGCACCAGATTGTGTTTTTTCCCTTTCAATTTTGGGACTTTCTAATCTTGAACGTTTGTACGTTATCAATGATTCTTCAATGATTTTTGAAGCCCAGAATTCATTGTCTACCTTTGTTTTCGGCAATTATTTTCCTCATGTTCGCATATGACAACTTTCTCAAGTTAAATTAAATAAGGATTATAAATGGAGTATTGTTCCGTCTCTTCGCTCACTATGTATGTCTACAGATGATATACTCGTCTACATCCAAATACTTCAATCGTGCCCATCTCTTGATCAATTGTGCATCGAATTTACCAATCACAAGTGCATGGCTAGTTCATTTGATTGTGCGCCTCATCAATGTCTTCGTCAATTGGATTTATACTTTCAATATCTTCGTTTATTAAACTCTCAAACGATCGATTTATTACTTTCTGTTGTACCCAATCTTACTTATTTTTCGATTAACAGAATTCGTAACAATCGGAACTCAGTGATAGATGATTCACTCGTTCCCATTTTATATGAGCGTCTGCCTAAACTTCGCCATTTTCACATTAACAGTATGCATTATACACCTAGGCCGATACTATCCGGCTCTGATTCTGACTCTGATGATTCTGGCTCTGATGATGATGATGATGATGATGATGATTCTGACTCTGATGATGATGATGACGACTCTGACGATGATGATGACGACTCTGACTCTGCTGATGATCTCTAATGATCTTATGGTTCGAGTATCATCCGTCTGCGCTGATCATTTCGTTCAAATAATGGACTAAGACATTTCATTGTTTTTATCTGTTAGAGAGCACTCTAACAACACATTTTCTTATGTTGTTTATTTTTGTTGTGTGTGTGCGCATCTTCATTCTAGAATATGTTATCCACTCTTGTACACGAAGGTCAAACAACCCTTTTTTCTTTCCCTCTCTCTTGTTTCAACTTTTCTTTCGTCTGTGAGAATTTCAATAAATTCTTAGCCTTCCTTCGGCTCTAAATGTAAGCGCATTTAAAAGATAAGCTCGATTGGCATTCTTTTTTTCCTTCACAAAATTTTCTCGAATCTTTTCGAACTGATAAAGAGAATCCTGAGTGTTTTTTCCAATATCAAAACATTTTCCTGCCGAGGATGGGTATCGGTATTGGTTAATTGAAAAATATAGCACGACCACTCATAAAATCAATCACACGCACACCCATCCATCTTTAAGAATGGGTTTTATTCTACAAGCTGAAGAATAAACAAACATTGCCGAGCTTTGAATCCTGCTAATTAGCGAAAAATCATATATCTACGAAAGCATTTTTCGAATATTCTCTCATTACTCTCGACTAAAGATAGACACGGGTGTGGGTGTGGGTGGAGGTCATAAGTACTGCTAGACCCACACCCAGACCCTACACCACACCCTACCCACATCCACATCCTTAGTTGTAATTTCGCACAAAAGAATTGTACTTCAACAAAAAACTATAAACAAGAACGTTGCTCTACGCTCACTCATATATTCAGTATGCTGGGTCAGTTGTTTTAGTATAAAACCTCCATTACAATCTTGACTGTGTTGTAGTTTCAATCTCCTTTTGCACGATTTCCAGGTTCTCTTTATACAGTCGAAGATCATGATGATTCGACGGCAATGAATGTTGAGCGATTTCAACGGCGTTTTTATGATGTTGGTATCCTTTTGAATAGTTACGCATGTTTCGATAAACTAAACCAATATTATTATGAGATAGTGCCAAAATAGGATGATCTGACGGAAGAATTGCTTGAAAGATTTCAAGTGATTGCTGGTGAAAATTCAACGCCTTAGAGTATTCTTTCATGTTGTTATATACTAAAGCAATGTTTTTGTAGGAATAGGCAATATCTGGATGGTAGGGAGAAAGTGTTTTCTTTTCGATTGCAAGTGCTTTTTCATGCAGCAATAGAGCATTCGAGTATTCCCCCAAGTCATTATGTACAGCACCAACATTATTATATGAGGTAGTTAAGTTTGGATGATTTGGAGGGAATATTTTTTCATGAATTTCGTATGCTTGTTGAGCAAATAAAAGTGCTTCTGTGTGCTGGCCCAATGCTTTAAAAGCTCCACTGATGCATGTATATGAATCAGCTAAATCGAGATGATTTGGAGGAAGTGATTTTTGACGAATCTGAAGTGATACTTCATGAAATGAAAGTGCTTTAGCGTACTTTTCCATAGTTTTATACACAAAGCCAACGTTATCATATGTAGTAGCCAAATCGAGATGATCGAGAGGGAGACATTTTTGATCGATTTCCAATGCTTTTTCTTCAAACGCAAGTGCTTTTGAGTACTGTCCAACATCGATGTAGAGCAATCCAATATTTCGGTAGATAGGAGCTAAATCGGATTGATTTGAAGGTGATATTTCTTGGTAGATATGAATCGATTTTTCAAAATACGATAGAGCCTTCGAGATTTCTCCTAAATATTTCAAAGCTGCACCAACGTTGTTATATGTAACAACTAAGTCGGAATGATTTTGGGGTAACGCACTTTCATGAATTTCACTAGCTTTCAAGTAGTAAGAAAGTGCTTCAGAGTATTCACTCGTGTTGATATACGCATTACCCAGCCAATTGTGACACAAAGCTAAATCTGGATGATTTGAAGGAAATGCTTTTTGCATAAATATCATGTGCCCTTTTTACGAATGCAAGGGCTTTGGAGTGCTCACCTATATTAATTAACACGTCCCCGATATTCTTATAGAAAGTAGCCAAATTAGAATGATCTTCAGGTAACATATCTTCATACTATTCGAGTGCTTTTTCATAAACTGAAAGCGCTTGGAGATGCTCTCCTGCATTGTCATATGCCAAACCGATTTCATTGTACAAAGTAGCGCAAAATGAATGATTTTCTGGTGATACATTTTGATAAATTTTAAGAGCCTTTTCATAAAATGTCGCTGATTTCAAGTGCTCATGCATAGACTTATACGTGAAACCCATGTTGGTGTAGAAGGCAGCCAACTTAGCGTGATTTTCTGGGAGAACATTTTCAAAAATCGGAAGGGCTTTTTTTAAGAATAGGAGGGTTTTAGAGTACTCGTCAAGGTTAAGACATGCACTGCCAATGTTGTTATATGCAGCAGCCAAACGAGGATGATTTTTTGGTAACATGTTTTCAGAGATTTTGAGCGCTTTTTCACAAAATGAAAATGCTTTTGGATAGTCTTCCAATATTGCATACAAACCACCGATGTTGTTGTACGAAGTGGCCAAATGAGGAAGATTTGGAGGTATAGTGTTCTGACAGATTTCAAGTGTCACAATTGGCTGGGTAATGCGTATATCAACACGAGTGAATACTCTGAAGCACTTTCTTACTACTTGAAAGCTAGTGAAATTCATGAAAGTGCGTTACCCCAAAATCATT